GGGGGGGGGGGGGGGGGGGGGGGGGGGGGGGGGGGGGGGGGGGGGGGGGGGGGGGGGGGGGGGGCAGAGGCTGTGGCAGCAGGAGGGACCTGGTTAATACTGACTTACAGGGCTCTGGACAGAGGGGCAGGCTGGGCAGGGATCAGAGGCTCCGTTTCCCCTCCTCCCTCCCCACCCCCAGCACACAGAGAGCCTCACCAGTGATCTTGTCCAGCATCATGTGCAGACGGCAGCCAAAGGGGGCATAGAACCCCACGGTCACAGGCACGGGCACATGGCAGAGGGTCTTGGCCAGGCAGCTGCAGTAGACGTCATCTTCTGTCAGGATATCTGGAGGCCGGGGTGGGGGAGGGGGAGGGGAAACTGAGTCAGTGTGGCTGGCCGGACACCACCGTCCACCCATCTGCCCTCTGGAGAGCCCACCCTTGGCTCCTCCCTGCACCGGCACCCCTCTCCCCGATTCCCCGAGGTGACTTGGGTTAAACCCTCAGATTTGTGGGGCAGCAGGCAACCCCCTTCTCTGGGTCAGACGCGTCCCTCGGGGCCACTGCAGGAGGAGCTGACCCCAGATCCGCCCAGGAAAGGCTAGGAGACTCCCCACCGCCCCCCAGCAGGGAGGCCTGTGGGATTTCTGCTGAGCCAGCCCTAGGTCACCAGGCTCAGCCACCAGCCCGTGATTCTCCTACAAAAAGCCCATGGGCATCTCTTGCGACTTGAGGCTGTCAGATGCCTAAGACACCTCTTTGCATGCTCCGGAAGTTTTGCGTGTCGGTTCCTGCCTGCTCTGAGTCTGCGGTGTGGCAGGACCCCGCCAGTCACAGGCTCCTGTCCGTCATCCCTTACCCTGATCTCCCTCCCCTCCCCAGGACCCCATGCCCTCCAGCTCCCAACGTGCCCCAAGCCCAAGCAGATGCTCCTCTGGGTCCCTGCCACCTTTCTCTGCATGACCCAGGTAGAGCGTTGCCATGGAGAGAGGCTCAGTCCCTCCTTCTGAAGGTGGGGAGCAGAGACATGGGGTGGCGTGGATGCCGAAAGGGGCCAGGCGGGGGAGGGGGGCACCCTTGGTCAGTGCCATGGTCTGGGATGGTCATTTAGGGAGCAAGTTCAGGTTCGGGTTTAAGTCCTTGTGCATTATGGAGTGAGTCCACTTGCCTGAGGCGCCCCGCCCCCCAGGCCCCCACCGAGTGCCACTCCTCAGACTGGGGTTGGGGCGCCAGAAAGGCGGGCTTCAGCTGTGGGCCGTGCTGGGCCAGCCTCCCGGTGGGTGCGTGGTGGGGGTGACATGCCCAATTTTCATAGGGCCCGGTGGGCCACAGGACCCTGCCCTCCCTGAGGGACTGGAGGCACTGCTGGGAGGGCAGACTCAGAATGAGGCTGGCTATGGGGGTGGCCAGGACGGGTCTGGCCCCACTCTCCTCACGGTGGGTGACCTCACCTCATCAAGCCTCTGCTTCTGTGTGTGACATGGGCGTCGTGGCCCAGAGGCCGCCAGTGACGAGGTTGTGCCGGACTTGGGGCCTGAGGCCCTATTCGGCTCTTGCTCTACTTTCAAACCAGATGTGGAACCCAGCCGTGTGTCCCCATCTCCCCTGCTACCTCCCGGGTCACCCCCCCACACCCCGACTCCTGCTCCCCACGCTCAGCTCCCATGGTGCACTCTCCTGTTAGATCCCAAGCCTCCCCCTCCCCGCAGCCACCAGGATATGGCCCCGTGTGACCGTCCCACGCACTGCCCTCCTGGCTGTCCCTGGACAGGTCACTTCAGTCTGCACTTGCTGGTCCTCCGGCCGCTTCCTCGAGAGAAGTGCCCATCTTCGCTCAAATCCTGCCTTCCTGAGGCCCCTCCTGATGGCCCTTTACTTGGCAAACCCTGATGCTCCCTCGCTCCTCTCCCCCAGCCTCGCTCCTCTCCCCCAGCCTCGCTCCTCTCCCCCAGCCTCGCTCCTCTCCCCCAGCCTCGCTCCTCTCCCCCAGCCTCGCTCCTCTCCCCCAGCCTCGCTCCTCTCCCCCAGCCTCGCTCCTCTCTCCCAGCCTGGTTATCACGGGGGTGACACACTTAAACTTCCCTAATCATCTTATTATTGCCTGTACCCACCTTCCCCTACCGCCTAGAGATGGTGAGCTCTGCGGGGGGGTGGGGGGGGTAGTCTCTGCCCTGTTCCCTGCACTTCCCCCCACTGCTCCCCCGGAACAAAGCTGGGCACCCATGGCGGGCATGCAGTACCTAGGTCCAGGATGGGTGGGTGGGTGGGTGGATGGATGGATGGACGGACGAGTGAATGGATCCCTCCCCTGGCCACACTGTCTCCTCTGGCCCCCAGGCCGGTCCCTTCCTCTTGCTTCAGCTGCACATCTGACTGCCTGCCCCACACCAGAGCTGGCCTGCAGGCTGGTGCTTGTCACCCCCTGCCCCAAGCTCTCCCTGTCCTGCTGGGCTGGGCGGAGGCAGGGCCGGGAAGAGAGAAAGCAGAGCAAGGCTGTCAGCCGAGGGAGACGCCGGGGCCCAGACCCCTGGCTGGTCCGGGCGGAGGCACCGTGGCCGGGCCTGGCCTGGAAGTTTTGGATCCCGACAGGTGAAGCAGGGAGGAGCACCCCCCAGACAGCGGTGAGGAGGGCGGGCTGCGGAGCGAGAGGCCTGGTCAGGGGGGTTGGCGGGGAGAGGCGGCAGGGACGAGCCTGCAGGAGGACCGGGTAGGCACCGGAGCTGTAGGTGAAGGAGCCGCAGGCTGCGGGGGCCGGCAGGGGGCGGGCGTCACTGGGCCTGCTGGGCTCCAGGAGGCTGCCGGCTGCAGGGGGCGGGGCCGGGCGGCTGCTGGCCGGGGCAGGTGCCGCGGTGGCCGGTGACATGGTGGGCCTGGGCGCCGGCTGCGCGGGGACAGCGGCGGTCGCAGGCGGCCCCTTCTGGGGCCCTGGAACGGAGCAGAGCCGCTGCCGCAGGGGGCTGGGAGGTGGGGGCTGGGGGTGCCGCTGCTGCTGCAGGCTGGGGGCCCGGGGGCCGGGGAGGCAGCCGCCGACACCCCCCTGGTGGCTCTGGTAGGCCAGCTGCCAGCGCACCTGTGGGGGCAGCCGATAGGGCCCGTGGGCTGGAAGCGCCGCTGGGTCACGGCACCACTGGAGACAGCATCCTGGAAGGAAGGAAGCGGGGGTGACTGGGCCTGGGTCCCTGGGCCCCGGTGCGCACTGGAACCCAGTCGTCTTCAAGTGGAGGCTTGGGGCCGGTCCTTCCGCTGAGGCCCCGGAGAAATCAGAGAAAATGAGGAGGGTGGTGCAGGCAGAAGGAGGGGCCAGTCTCCGTGCTGTCCCGTGGGTCGGGGGGAGAAGAGGTGCAGAGGCCGGGGCTCTAGCCGGGCGTCGGGCTGGAGCGAGCAGGGACACTGCCTTGGGAGTCCCTGCTACCCCCAGAGTCCTCGTTCCCCGGGGGGAGGGACAGGCATCCATCAGGAGCCGGCCTGGTTGGTCCAGGGGAGGCTGGGGTGGGGGGAGGTGGCCACAGAGGGGACTGGGCCTCACTCCTGGGCTCCGGCAAGGCTGGGGGGAGGGGGCTGCACTGCCCCCATCCCCACCCCTACCCCCATTCCTACCCACTCGGGTGGGGAGAGCTCACAATCCGGGGTGGGGGGAGGGGCAGGCCAGCTGGGCCTCCCCCTCCGACACCCCCATCCTGGGCTCCCACTTCTGGGCTCCTCAGGGCCTGTGTCCCCCGCCCACAGCCCCTTTATGCAGAAGCCTCTGTGGGGAGCACTGGTGGCCCCTCTCCTGGGCCCTCGGGTTCTCCTGTTCAGCCATCCATTCAGCAGCACCCCCCACCGGCTCTCAGACCACTGTCCCTGCCAGGACGCCCTGCCGAAGGAACCCCTACCTTTTTGGCTCCCCAGCTCCGGGTCCAAGAAGTAGCGCTCGGTGGGGGTCCGAGAGGGCAGGGCGCCCTTGGCGAAGTGGACGGTGTAGTGTTGGTGCATGGCGGCGGCGGGGGGCCTGCTCCGGGGGAGGGGGAGGGCTCAGTGCCCGCGCGCCTCCCTTGGGTGCCGGCAGGAAGAGCCCACCCCACCCCCGGGATGTGACCTGGGACTGGGACGGGTGAGGGATCCTGTCCCTGCCGCTGGGGCCCCGGGGTCACCAGGGGGTCGTAGAGGTGCTCTTCAGAGTAAAAGCGAGTGGTCAGGACAGGGGGAGGACAGCTAGACATGGGAGAACGGGGGTGGTCACGCGGGTGCCGGGGGCTAATCTGGGGTGCGTGCGGCTTCCCGGACTTGGTGCTGGGGTGTCTGGGAGCCCCTGGGAATTCCCAAGAGGCCAGGACAAGGGGGCTGCTGGGCAGCTGTGGGCTGGGGAGACATGGGAGCCTGGGGAGTGGCGAGTAAACCTAGGGCGACCAGGCACTGGGGGTGTGCGCTGTGGGAGGTGGCGGCTGGCGCCCTTTGAAGGGACCTGTAACCAGCGTGGTGAGAGCTGGGAGGAGCCCTCGTCCACCAAGTGACTGAGGTTTCAGGGCTGGTACATCTAGGGCCTGAATGAGGGGGAGGGGGAGAGGAATTCTGGGGGGACACATTAAATCATGTCGGTCCAATCTGGGAAGAGGCTCAGCAAACTGGGGGCGAGACGGTTTAAGCTGTGAAGAGCCGCAAGCAGAAGTGAGGGCAGGATGCTGTGTGGGGAGGCAGGCGAAGCCTAGGGGTGTGTAGCGGCTCAGTGAGGGTTGGGGGCCCGGCGCGTGGCCCCTGCCCGCCTGCCCCTCCCCCACCCCCACATGGGGTCCCCTGTACCTGATGGCAGCCTCTCAGCCCCAGCTCCCTGCCCCACCGCCAGTCAGCGCGGGCCCCACCGCAGACAGGGCCCGAGCTGGGCGCCAGCCACGAGCTGGAAGCCAGCTGCCCCGACCGGTTTGCCCTCCCTGTCCCCGCCCCTTCCCCTGGAGTGCCCGCCCTGCCTGGTGCTCTGTGCTCTCGAGGACTGGGGGGGCTGTCCTCCTGGAGGTATGGGGGGCGGGAATTCTTCAGACTCCGCAGGGGGTCCATGGGACCCAGGAAGGAAGCTGGTCCAGGGATTAAGAGTCAGGAGCTGAGAGACCCCAACCCCGGGTTCAGATTCCATTTCCTCCAGGGCCCAGCTGTGTGAGCTTAGGCAAGTGACTTCACCTCTCTGAGCCTCACCTTCCTCATCGCTGAGTGGGCCAGCTGTGGCTGTCGGGAGGAGTCCGCTGAGCACAGAGCCTGGCACCCGGTGGTGACAGCAGTGCACGCTTGTGGACACCGACTGACCCACTTACCAGGCTGCCCTTACCAGAAGGCGCTCGTGGCATCTGCGCCTTTCCTACAGTTAACCTTCTTCCTCCACACCCCCGTGGGGCAGCCGTGAGGCCCACATTACAGACGAGGAAACTGAGGCCCAGAGAGGTGAAGTCCCTTGCCCCAGGTCACATGCAGGCACAGGAGGGCTTCTGAAAGCCTGGTTTGTGCTGCAGGCTCTCTGAGGCTCTGCCTCCTGCTGGCAGAGCGGGTGGGAGGTTCCTGATAGGGAGTCAGCAGCCACTGCCCCGGGAGATGGGTGATCCGGGTGCCCGGGCAAGGGGCTTCAGGACAAGACAGAAGGGAACCCCTCAGGTCCAGCAGGATGCCCCTCTAGGGGTTCCGCTGGGTGACCAGAGACTCGCGCCCCTTTGTCCGCCGGGGGCCAGTCCTCTCTCCTCCCCAGGTCTTCAAGCTGCCTTTCCTGGGAAGGCCACCTCCCTGTCCTTTGCGAGTTGGGCTCTGCCCACTGCCACCCCCAGAGGCCCAGCCAGTGGTGGGGAGCGGGGAAAGGGCAAGTATGTCTGAGTTGGGGGTGAGTCTGGTGGGGGAACCTCCAGGATGGGCCCAGGAGCTTCTTGAGGGAAGGACAGGGCCCATCCCCTGCTCCCCCTGCCTGGCCCAAGTAACCAGTTCATTGGGGAAGCATCTGCCAGGCTCTGTACTGGGCAGAGCCAGTGCCCCGCAGAGGTCCAGAGGGGTCCAGAAGGACCCGAGAAGAGTGCGCTGAACAGAAGTAAACAGCCCAGGGCCAGAAGAAGCGGTCCAGGGGTCCTCCTGGGGCCGGGGATGCAGTGAGGACCCGCTCGAAGGCCGAGTGGCTGGCTCCCGGTGCCCAAGAGGAAGCGGGAGAGTGGGGAGTGGGCCGGAGAGCGGGGCAGCCTAGGCAGGGAACAGTATGTGAGGAGCCAAGAGGCAGGTCGGAGAACACGGAGCTCAGCTCTCCAGGCAGGGGAAGGCAGGGCAGAGGCCTGGTGGGGTGTCTTCGCAGGACCCTCCAGAGGCAGAGGAGCCCCCACCCCTTGGCAGCTGTTTTAAGCGGGGAGACCATTTTCCTTTCATTTGGGTCTCACCCCAGCCTCAGTTTACAGCTCTGAAGCGGGGGTACTTACCCACAGCAGGCAGCAGGGCCTGGGCAGAGTCCGGGTGTGTGATACGCTCGGGTGCTATGAATGTAAAGGGGGGGAGGGGGGCAAGGGGGCGGGCGCTGTCCCAGGGGCAGGTCACTGGGGCTGCTATTGTGGGCAGGACTCACCTCAGCCAGGCACCTCGTGTGTGTGTGTGTGTGTGTGTGTGTGTGTGTGTGTGTGTGTGCACGTGCACACATGTATTGGGGGTAGGGGGTGGGGGGTAAGGGTGTTTGGCCCGTTTCCCCCTCACCTGTCCTGGGTGCAGGCAGCCCCAGGCGCACCCTGCCGACACTCTGGGTAGCCCCAGCCCCGCTCTGGGGGAGAGGTCCACTCTGTGCGCCCCACCGGGCAGAGGACAGCCCCGGACTTGTTGACACCACTCACGGCCAGCGCCCGGGGCTGCCCTCTGCTGCCAGGTGTGCAGGGCAGGAGGCCAGTGGGCTGGGGACGGAAGCCACACAGCGCGCTCTGCTCACCATCCCCGCAGGACCAGTGACAAAGTCACAGATGCCCCCGCCCCCTTCCACTTGAAATCCAGCTCCATGGACAGAACCTTTATTGGGCACCTGCCGCACAGAAGAGGAGTCCCGGGCAGGGAACCCTTCACACCGGCCCCAACCTGGGCCACTTTGTTCCTGGGGCGTACTTACCTCCCTAGGACACCCACCCGTCAAGCACATGGGACTCCCTGAATCGGCTGGCCCCACCCCCCATTTCTTCATCACCCATGGAGTCTGGGGCACCCGACACCAGCCCTCTGGCCACCCCCCAAGGCAGTGGTCCGAGGTCCCCGGGCCAGGGGCAGCTGTGAGGCTTAGCTGGGGTGGGGGCCTGCGGCTCCTCAGGTCTTCTGAATCACCACCTGGAACTTACCTGGAAGAGAAGGGACGGCGTTAGCGGGAGGCTGGGATCTCAGGGGTGAGCCGGCCGGGAGATGTTCATCCCTGCCCAGCACCAGCAGACTGCCGGGCCTTGGGCTGGGCTGAGGGGTGGCCAGAGCGGGTGCTGCTCCCCGCCCACCTGGCCTGCGTCCCAGAGCTGTGTGGGTGACTAGCGGCAAGAAGGTCAAGCACGCAGGCGGCTGAGGAGGGGCCGGCACGGGCTGCTGAGGCACGTATTGCTCAGGTCCTGCCCACGTGGCCTCGGGTCCCCTCCATAAGTAGGCCTGGGGGACCCGCAGAGGGAAAACGCCCGGGGGTGGGGCAGCAGAGGGCAGGCAGGCCCCAGGTTGGCACGAAGCTTCAGCTCATCTGATGGAGTGCGCTGGGGGGGTCAGGGGGCAAGCTGTAACCCACGGGCCCTGGATGCCCTTCAGGGACCCCATTGCAGCATTAACCAGGCTGACTTCTGTTACGTCCCACTGGAATATAATGTTCGAAACCCCTAGACCAGCTCATCATCGACGCTCCCTGCTCCGGCCTGGCGCACCCGGCCAGGCTGCACCAGCCAGGTGGCCTGGGCACGGGACCTAAGCTCTCTGGGCCTCAAATTCCCCATGTGTAAGTGGGACTCGGCAGCCCCAGCCCCGCCTCCCCAACCCTGGGGTTGGGGGGCGGGAGAGCTCGGAGCCCCCACCACCCTTCAGGGTTGGGAGCAATGCCCCACCACCCCACGACTCACAGGTGGGCAGGGATGCCACGGAGGCGGTGACCAGGCTCTTGATGCCCAGGGTGCTGAGGGTGCCTCGCATGAGGCCGCAGGTGAAGGCCAGGAACTGGGGACAGGGGGCACAAGTCACCCAGGGAAGAGGGGAGACCCGCGCCCAGGATGGGAGTCGTGCCGCGCTTTGGGCTCCACTCCTTCCCTGGGCGCTGCGCCGGAGGCTGCGTAAATGGGGGACATGGCCCCAGGCACCCTCCATACCTTGGGTGCCTCCTCCAGATACTGCGGGCCCGAGGCCATCCGGATGAGGAGGGGGAAGCTGTTGTCCTGCAGCACATAGGTCCCCTGGGGGCAGAGAGGAGCCCGGTGGGGGCTGGGGAGGCACAGCCAGGCTCCAGTGCCCCCGGCCCCGTTGGGCAGAGGTCTGGGGGGACCCTTCCCTCAAAACTCCCGTCGTCAGGGGCCCCATCCTTCGGAGCTACTGCAGAAGGGCCTGGTCCTGCCCCTCTCGCTGCAGGACTTCCGGGGTGATCCTTCCAGGGCAGTGGTGAGAGGCTGAGGGCCCGACCCTCGAAGGGGAGGCTGGGCACAGCGTGGGCGCCTGATAGGTCGGGCCAGCTCGAGACAAGTGGCAACTCGCCGAGGGGAGGTGCTACCAACCGCAAGCGCCTGCTGCCCGCTGCAGGGCCCCATCGTGGGAGTCTTGTAGAAATTCTGGAAGTAGCCAGGACATCCCCCTGCAGCCTCCTGGCTTCCCTCAGAGGACTGGGCAGAGGCCCGGAGAGGGGAGGCCCGGCCTCCGGGGTGGGCCTCTCCTCCAGCCTCCTCTGGGTTTCAGCCTCCGCACTGAGCCAGGAAGCAGCCCGCTGCCCGCGGAACGCACCTGGTGATTGGTGCGGAGGCTGTCCATCTGCTTCTGGAACACGGCCACCCACAGGTCTTTGCATAGGAACTTGAGGACATCCAGCTCCTCCCTGAAGGCCAGCGTCTCCTGGGGCAGCCTGGGGGGGGGGGCGGGGCAGCGGCAGCCACTGGGGCCAGGTGGGCTGGGCTGGGGGCCCAGGGTAAGCAGGAGGGGGGACACCAGGCTGTGTTCCTAGATGGAGCAACAGGACCCTCCCCGCCCAGGCGTGCCCAGGAAGGGACTGGCCAGCAGGGGGAGGGCAGGAAGCGCTGGCTCTCACCTCTCGCCCAGGGCCTGGCCCACACGGAAGCCCATGCCCTCCAGGACAGACAGGCTCATCTTCTGTCCCTAAAAGGCCAGGGAAGAGAGGCTCAGGGGAGCCTCCAAGTGGGAGTGACCTGAGGCAGCAGCCGCAAAGGGGACCAGTGTGCCCGTCTCTGCGAGCTCGAGGGTAAGGAGAGCCAGGAGGGAGCACTGTGCCCCCTCCCCCCACGCGGCGCCTCCACAGACGCCATCCACTCTGTCTGGAGACCAGCTCCCCGTTGCTGCAGGAAAAATGGGGGAGGGGTCTTCCCCAGGCTCGGCTTCCGCCTGCTGGTCAGCTCTTGCCCGAGAGCACCTGTCGCTTGTCGTGAGCATTTCCGGTGTCCGTCCTTACAGCACCCCGCGCTCTCATCACCCCAGGGGCTCACGGTGACCTGCCGAAGGGTTCATGTGGCAGCACGCATGCAGCCACAGCGAGGGACCCCCAGGCCGCGGGGCCCACCCTCCAGGCCTGGCCAGCCGGAAGCTGTAAAAATCAGCTACGTCCATCATGCCCAGTGGGGGGGGCTCAGCCGGCTGAGCATTTGACTCTTGGTTTCAGCTCAGGTCATGATCTCAGGTCATGGGATCAAGCCCTTAGTGGGGCTCCATGCTGAGCATGGAACATGCTTAAGATTCTCTCTCTCTCTCTCTCTCTCTCTCTCTCTCTCTCCCTCCCTCCCTCCGCGCCCCCCCCCCCACACTCTCTGAGAGCCGAGAACCCTGGGAGAGATGTGCGGGGCCTCGGGGGTGGGAGAGAGCCCCTTGGGTGCTCAGGGAAGACAGTGGCGGCCACGTGGCATTCCAGAGGGCAGGCCAGGTCCCGCAGTGGGAGGGCAGCAGAGGCACTGGGAAGGGGACATCAGGCAGCCTGCACTTGGTGTCCGTCCACGTGCCGGCGAGTGCCGGCTGGCGCGGCCAGAGGAGATCCAACCAGGACTTCCTTTGGGAGGCCTGAGGACAGCTGAGTGAGGGGGGCGCTGGGTGGGGGCGTCAGAAATACCAGGACAGCGCAAGGGTGGGACGCGGCGCTCCCTAGAGAAAACCGGGCTGGGTGGAGGGAAGAGGCGGGCGCAGAGCCCCAGTAGGCAGCAGCAGGGGCGGGGGGGAGGGGGGACCGGGAGGCAAGCAGCAGTCACAGGCCCTCCCCCGTCCCCCCCTTCCTCGGCCACCACCTTCCCTGGGAGCAACTTCCAGTCTCCTCTCGGGGCCTGATCAGAGCCCTTCCCGTGGTGGGTAGGATTTTTCTGCTGAGATCCGGCTCTGAGATGACGTCCCGGCCTCAGCAGGTTTCAACAGCCATCTGGGACCCCGCTGTCCCTCACTCACCCTCTGCCCTGAGCCCTGACGGCTTCCCTTAGTCCAGCAGAGGGGCCACCCCACCCATCCACTGTCACCTCCCCCAGCTCCCGGAAGCCACCTGCCTCCTCCCTCCCGCGGGTTAGGCCCCGATCCCAGCGCTGACCAGCCTGTTGCACGGGGACCCAAGCTGGCCTCCGGCGGCCAACATTGGCCTTGGCACGTGGGAGGCCCTTAGGAAGCAGAGGCCAAACGAGGTGAGCCATCGGGACGAGAGCACGCGCCGTGTGCCAGGGCTTTGTACACACCTCCTGCTTAACGTTAACAACCCTGTAAGGTAGGTTGTATTTCACACCTGGAAACTGAGGCTTGGAGGGTCGGGTAACCGGCACCTCAGCCACGGGGCCATCGTTCAAACCTGAGCAGGCCTGGCTCCCAAGCCCAGAAGGCCCGATGGGTGGGTGGCCAGGAGGACACCGCAGCTGTGCCGGCCTCAGGGAGGTGGCAAGGGCAGCGTCCCCCACCCCCCCCGCCCAGCAGAGGTGGCCCGCATCTCTGAGCAAGGCACCCCTCTTCTCTGCCAGGCCCCCGGCACCTAGGCCCTCGCCAGGCATTCGAGCTCCTCCTGCGGGAACCGGTCCCAGCAGTGGCTCCTGGTGGCCGCCGGCGGCCAGCTCTCTGGTCAGGAACTCCTCTGTTTCCTCAGGCACCGCAGGTGCGCACGCGGGGCACAGATGAGCTCAGGTGTGACACAGGGAGGGGACATGTGAACGGAGGCTGGGTGCAGGATCCACAGCCACATCAGCCCAACACCTACGTGCCCCGTGCCTCAGTTTCCTCCCGCGTAAACAGAGGCCCTGTCAACAGCGCTACCTCCCAGTGTCCTTAGCAGGATTAAAGTGATGAGTAAATGCAGGCTAAGTGGTCCCAGCCGGGCTCAGTAACTGTTACTGTCCTTGTCGCTCACAGCCTCTGCGTCTGTCAACCTGGGTGACCGACGCCTGGCGGAAGGAACACCCCAGGAAGGGGCTGTGCTCTGCGTCCCCTCCCTTCCAGAAGTGAGCGCCTTAAAGAGGCGGGCGGGGCTCCATTCTGAGGAGCACATCAGTGTCCCTGAGGACTTCCCAGCATGGGAGGGGGCTTCCTAGTTCACCCTACAGACATTTCCTGGTGGCCTCGAGGAGCTGGCCCCTGTGCCCAGTGCGACGACGGGGACCCAGGCTATGGGCACCCCGTATGCGGGGGGCAGGGGTGGCACAGGGCAGAGCCAGATGCCCGGGGAGGGGCCCCAGGGTGCTCCTCAGAGGAGGGGCCGGGAAGGGGACGGTGTGCGCAAAGGCAAGAAGGCAGGAAAAAGGATGGGGGGCGCCGTGCAGGCCACGAGCGGGGACAGTGGTGAGAGGTGGGAGCGGGGAGGGGCCCCGTGGACCAGGCCGGGGTGGGCGCTGCGGGAGAGGGCGCCACAGTCCTCATGGGACGGAGCTCGCAGGCACTGGTGGCGCGCATCCCAGGCGGGGACCCACAGGGAGAAGAGACGCGCTGTGAGGGCCCCTCGGGCGCCAAGTGTGAAGGAAGGCAGGGGGGCGGCACCCACGCCCAGGTCACAGCCAGGACAGCAGGCCCGAGAGGGGACAGTCAGCAGGGTCCTCCGCCAGGCCAGGGAGCTCAGGGGGCTGGCGGGGGAGGAGGTGGTGGCTGGAAAGGTTTCCACAAGTTCAGGCTTCCCCTCAGTGAACTTCAGACTGCTTGGGTTCAAGTCCTGCTCACTGACCGGGGGCGAGCTATCTAATGGTTCTAGGCCTCAGTTTTCCCGTGTGTGAGATGGGGCGACGGCAGGCCCCACCTCACGGCACCGGCTCGTCCCCAGCTGTCCTTCCTGCGGGCCCCACCGTCGTCAGGCACTCGGCCCTCGCTAGGGGCCCATTACGCATCTGCCGAACTGGAAAGGTTGGGTGGTGGGTGCGGAAACAAGAGAGAAGGGAGGGGAGATGGGCGGTGGGAGGGCAGGGCCCAGGATGCAGGACAGAGAGAGGGCGGAGAAGGTAGAGAGGAGCCTCGCCTCCCTGCCCAGGTCCTCAGCAGGGATTAGGGGCTTAGCATTTTTTTTTTTTAATATTTATTTCTGAGAGAGAGCAGGGGAGGGGCCGAGAGGGAGCGGACAGGGGAGCCAAAGCGAGCTCTGCTCTGACAGCAGACAGCCCGACATGGGGCCCAAACCCACGGGCTGTGATGTGAGACGGTGACCCTGACCTGAGAGCACGTCGGTTGCTTAACTGCTTGAGCCACCCAGGCGCCCCTGGGGCTTTGTCATCCTTAAGAAAGGCAAGGCGGGGCCGCTCCGGCCCCGGCCCAGAGCCAGGCCATTTCTGGGCTCCCCGCGCCTGCCTGCTATCTGCCCAGCAGCCCACTGCGAGGAAATGACATAATGCAGGAGCGGCGGGGAGCCCGTTGGAGAAGGCGCTCACAGCGTCCCCCCAACAGCACGGGGACAGAGGGGAAGCTCTGGGAAATGGAACGCATGGCAGCTAAAATGCACGTCTGTTAACAAGGGAGCTGAAACACAGACCAGCGTGTGAGGTGGATAAAGCCTCCCGGATTGTGCAGGAAGACACACGAGGTAGAGAAAAAGGAGGGAAAAGTTGTAAGACACGTGGAAGGGCCCCAGAATATCCGATGTTCGTCCGGGGCCGGAGGAGACCCGCCGGCGCGACGTGGAGGAAGTCAGAGATGGCAGCGGACAGCGTGCTCGGCTGAAGGAAGGTCCAAGTGTCCCGACGGACAAGGGCCACGGAGCTCCGACGAGGCTGGGAAAACGAGCAAAGCCAGCGGCCCCACAACCCCCCACACCCTGAGAACATCCTGCGCTGAAGGGAGGGAGTCGCAGGGGCCCCTGTGCTGGGCTTCCTCTGTGACTTGTGACGCTCACCACCTGGCCGATGGCCCGCTGTGCAGGCCCCGGTGGGGGGACCTGGGGACGGAGCAGCCGGGTCCCAGCCTCAAGAGAGGGGCAGGGGCAGTTCTCATTTTCCTCAGAAGGGTCGCAGAAGACCCAGAAGTCGTCGGAGTGAGCAGATGAGTGGGAAGGAGCAAGCCCCCCATCCCCCCACATCCGCCCCAAACACCCCCAGGCCCCTCCTTCTCCCCCTAATTCCCCCCACCCGGGGCTGAGCGCCCGCCTCTGCTCTGGGTCCCTGCGGCAGCTGGTCTGCCGAGCGTCCATTCAGGTTCATCCCTGTGGCCTTGGTGGCCCGGCCGCACGCCCCACACCTCAGCTTAAACCTTCTATGGCTCCCACCACTGGCCCCAGGTGCACCGCGCCCCCTCCAGGGCTCTGCCCCCAGGAACCCAGGCTCCTGCTGAGGGCAGGGGTGTGTCCGGTATGCCCACCCCAGGTGCCCGGGGCCGGCGTGGGCACCCACTGGGCCTTGGTGGAGGCAGGTCTGGCCCAGCAGGATTGCTCCTGGGCCGCCCGCCAGGGCTCACAGGTGACTGACGCCTGCCCACTCCCAGCCCCCCCAACCCCGCCTTGTGCTGAGGCATCAACTCCTTTGCCCCAGGCTTCCCTTATCTTCAAAGCTGCTGAGGCGGAGACACCACAGGGACCTCTTCCTCCCCAAGTTTTTCCTGCCTTGATAACAAAGGCCCTTTGCCCTCCCCGGGGGGCCGTCCAGAAAAATCCATCCTACAGTCTCTGGTAGCCACCATAACCAGGCAGGCTGTGGGGAGCCCCGAAGCTTCTGGGCATGCGTGCTGTGGGGACAGAGGAACCAGTCACCATCCGTGTGCTCCGGCACTGGGCGGCTGCTGGGAGGGGCAGACCTGAAGCCACAGACAAGCGCTGGGGCCGCAAGCCCGGGGCCTGACTGCCCCTCTGATGATGGCTGCAGGGCACCCTGGGGAAAGCCCCCTCTGGCGCCTCCGTCCCTCCTCTGTAAAATGGGACGATCAGGTCTATCTCGCGAGGCTATTCTGAGGATGAACGGCGACAAAATACTGGGCTGGACAAGTACCCGACAGGAGGCCTGCGTCTGCTCCCAACAGGACCCGTGTTGGACCCAAGAGAAGGAACAGAAAGAGGGAGACGGAGGAGGGGCCGGGAGGGGAAGAGGAAGGGCCGAGAAAACAGCCGATCTCTTGGCACGCCCCCTGAAAGTGGGGCTCCCGGGCCGGAGGGGATGTGGGGGGACCCCCCGCCTGGCTGCACCCGAGAACCAGGGGCCAGGACCCCAGCCCGGGAATTCCGGGGGCAGCTGGGTCGCGGGCGCCTTTCTGAGCACCCCTGAGTAACCCCAGTATTTCCCACACCTGCTTGACCACAGAAACCCAGTAAAACCCTCCCGGAGAGCGTGAGGGAAAACACACTGAGAAACGCGGGCCAGCGTTTACAGCGCTCGCTTCGGAGGCGGGAGGCGGACTTATAACATTCCTCGCTCTGCCACTTGAGAGCAAGCACGCGGTCCATCAAAGGTCCATCAAAGCCTCTGTTTCTTAGTCCTCGAAGCCTTCAAAGCGGGGAGGATTGTGCTGACCTCGGGGTTGTCAGGAGGATCAAATGAAACCACGAGCGTGAAGCCCCGGAGTGCACGTTCCCCTTGCGGTAGGCGCTGTCGTCCCAGATCCTGGTGCCCAGCCCAGCCCAGCCGTCCACGGCACAGGGGCGGCGGCCGCTCCTACAAACCCACGCTGAAGACCTACTGTGTGCCCAGGCCCCACTGTGTGGTGACGGACGCAGACCTGGTCCTAGCCTTCACTGCGCGCAGTCTGGTGCGGGGTGGGGGGTGCGTGGATGTAAATCAAAGGATCTTCGGGATCTACAATTCAGACTCATACTTAAGTGTGACAGGGCAGCCAAGGACAGATGGGAGGGGGCTGCAAGGTCGTAACAAGGACAGCTGGTTTCAACCGGGGCCCAGGGAATGCTTCCCTGCGGAAGGGGCATTAGAGCCAAGATCTGAAGGATGAATAGATGTGAACGCAGTGAAGATATGACAGGTGAAATGAGCGAAGAGATGAAGGAAGAGGCTGGACTGGGGCAGGGGTGGGGAGAGGTGGGACACATATTCATCTGGTTGAGGGGTGATGGTGAGAGAGGAAAGGCTGATGTCGGGGACACCTAGGTTTCCGGGCCTGAAAGCTGGGATGGATGGGGGATGCTGCACATCCCCCTCTCCGACACGCAGGCCAATGCACAATCCCTCTCCCGTGCTCGCTCGCTCTCATAGCATGTCCCTAACGTACTATACTTTATTGAAGTACTTTGTCTGTGTCCCCCCTGCCCCCCACTACAACATCAGCTCCAACAGGGTCAAGACTTTTGTACAGTTCACTGAGTAATTCCCAGGGCCTGACACTTGTTAAGTTTTAGATGAAGCCCGTGGAACCTGAACCCCAAAGAAACTATGTTGTGATCGTAAGCAACATTTTCCTTGAGGCTCTTAAGCCAGAAAACCTAAGCCCATAAAAATACCTTCCATATCGATGAACATCATATACCAACAATAATCGCGAAAAAAGCAATCACAGCACTCATTTATCAGGCAACTAATCTCTCCCTCACCCTTTGTTCTTGGTAACAGATTTTTATAACAGGAGCTCCCATGTTCTGGGGGCTGATTAGGTGCTAGACATCACGCCAAAGGCTTTTAAAGTTTGAGCTCATTTGTTCTTCCTAGGAACCAACTTCCAAAATGCCAAGCGCGCTCCTACCTCCGGGCTTTGCACCTGTTGTTCCTTCTGGAATGCTTCCTCCCCCCGCCCAGCAATTCACCACAGGGCTTGCTTCCTACAGTCTGTTCCTCAGAAAGGCCTTCCTCCGCCATCAACGACTCCATCCCTATTCTTTTCATGACTCTACAGACGTTTTCTTTATCGCACTTCTCACTAGCTAGTGGCATATTTTTGTCCAACTCCCCTACTAAAACGTTAAGTTTCGCAAAGACAGGGAAACAGTGCCTGGAATACAGTAGGTGCCTAATAAGTGTTTGTTGGGCGAATGTATGTTCCTCTCTGAGACTGAGGTGCTGTTACGATGTACATTTTACTAAGGAGGAAACTGAGGCACACTGGGATTGATTCCTACCTAGTGGAGCGGGTGGGACTGAACCCAGGCAGCAAGTCCTCAGTACGCAGCCAAGAAGAGCAATTATTATAATTATTACCTGCTGATTCTGTGCTAGGTCTTGAGCTTAGCTCTTTACCCCGAGCTTCCTCGCTCGCTTTTGGCAGTGACCCGCGAGGCCGGCCCTGCAGAGATCCCCACTTTACAGAGGAGGGAGCCAGCGCCCAGCGAGGCAGGGGCGGGGCCGGGGTTCCACCTGGGCCGTTGGAGCGCCCTCCGTGCTCCCCAGGACCTAGACTCGGCCTTCCGGTCGCGGCCCGCGCCTCCTCCCCCCGGGGCCCGGCGCTCACCCCAGGGCCAGGGTCGGAGTGGTGCGACCACAGCTCCGCCACCATCTCCATGTGCAGAAACTCGAACAGCGCCGCGTCCGCCATGCGCCCAACAACCGTCCAGCGCTTCGTGTTCTCATTGGCCCGGCTGGATAAGCCCCGCCTCCCGCTCCTAGGCGTGAGCCCGCCTACTCCCCACCCCCTTCTGTGCTTCAGACTAAGCCCCGCCTCCCGGGCTCACATGGTGCGCGCGTGAACCCGGGACACTTCAAGGGAGGGCCTACTTCCATTGGCCACGCGTGACAGCAGCTCCGCCCTTCCTTTCGTCCCCTGTCGGTTTCCGGGTTTTCCAGCATTTCCATTGGCTGAATCACGCATTACAGGCGGCAAACCTCGTTTTTAAAAATTTTTATTTGTCCACTCGCCGCGCAGCACAATGCGGAAGCGCCAGCCCAGCCGCTTTCCTATTGGTCTTACCTCTCCTCACGTGACTTTACGCCCACCCGCTGCTGGTTTGGGGGGTTTGCTTCCTGGTTGGTGGCCGAGCAGCCCACGGGTTTGGCCGCCATGCCCGCCCGGTCTGCTCGCCCATTGGTTGGGGCTCCCTCGGTGAAGGCGGAGCTCTTCGGCTGCGTAACGGATCCTGCAGGCTCGGAGCTTCGGTAATCAGGTATGGTCTTCGGTGTCAGTGCTCTCCCCCGCGCCCCCCACTAGTGCACGCTGTCCCCAAGCCCAGCTGGGCTGTCCTCCTTTCTGTGACCCTGGCGCCGGTCCCTGAGCAGCTGAGCAGCCCGTGTGCTTCCGGATCTGACACAGGCTTGGAGGACGGGTTGGAGGGTGTGGCCTCTAGGAGGCAAAATCGGGAAGAGCTCGCTTTAGGACTCCGGGAGCTCGGCCTCAGAGCCTTCATCCATCTGGTCCTCGGTTTCCCTGTCAGGACACAAAGATGGTGGGGTCCAGTAGCTCTCATTATCTCTGGCAGCAGGGATGATGAGCCCGTTTACAGAAGAGGAAGCCGAGGCGCAGGCAGGGGAAGCACGTAGCCACCAATCGCCAAGCTAGTCAGTGAAGGGGTTGGGAATCCACAACCTGCACCCTTAAAGCACCGCCAGGTGCCTCTCATGCCGTCCCTTCGCTCCTCTTCTCCCTAGTTCGGCCCCATGGCGTCCCAGGGTCGTCGGCGGAGGCCGCCGCGGAGGCCCGAGACGGTGGTGCCGGGGGAGGCGGCCGAGACGGATTCGGAGCTCTCTGCGTCCTCGTCGGAGGAGGAGGAGCTGTACCTGGGCCCCTCGGGCCCGACGCGCGGCCGCCCCACGGGGCTGCGGGTGGCCGGGGAGGCCGCGGAGACCGACTCGGACTCGGAGCCCAGGGCCGCGCCGGGGGACCTGCCTCCGCTCGTGGTGCAGCGGGAAAGGGCCGGGGAGGCCTGGGGCGCGGAGGAGACCCCGGCGCCCGCGCGCACGCTGCTGCAGCTCCGGCTGGCCGAGAGCCAGGAGCGGCTGGACCACGACGTGGCGGCCGCGGTGAGCGGCGTGTACCGCCGCGCCGGCCGCGACGTGGCCGCCCTGGCCAGTAGGCTTGCGGCCGCCCAGGCGGCGGGGTTGGCGGCCGCTCACAGCGTGCGCCTCGCGCGGGGAGACCTCTGCGCGCTGGCCGAGCGCCTGGACATCGTGGCCGGCTGCCGCCTGCTGCCCGACATCCGCGGCGTGCCGGGGACTGAGCCTGAGCAAGACCAGGGACCGCGAGCTTAGCCGTAACCCCGCCTGACTCTGCGCCCTGGGGGTGGGCCTTGAGGCCTCTGGGACCTGGCTCTGTGCCCTCTGTAGCTCTCTTCCCATCTTGCTGTCACCTTCAGGGCGACCCTTGCCCCCACAATAACGCTGTGTGTGTGTGTGTGTGTGTGTGTGTGTGTGTGTGCGCGCGCGCGCGCGCGCAGAGGGGGCGGGTAATATTGTGCAGCCACGCCTCTAGCCCTGGATTCCACCCTTTCACCCCACCCCCACCCCGCCCCGTCCTGTCCCCATCTCTGCTCCCTGGTTCCGACCCTATCCCTGAGGCTTGGCTCCAGCCCCTGGGTAACCCTGATCTCTCTCCATCCCGGGGGTCCCACCTTGCTCACCTTTTCTTGTGCTCTGCCTTTCTTGAGTTTGGTTTCCGCTCTTAGGGGCTGGTCTGTCTTCTTCGCGTAGAATCGCCAGAATCTGGCTCAGGTTCCCTGATGTCTGTCTTCACTCCGTTGGCTCTGCCTCTGCTCCTCTCGCCCCCCTTCTGCATTTTTTTTTTTAAAGCTTCTTTTGCTTTTCCCATTCTACTTCTACTCCCTACGTGATCCTGAGCTCTGTAGCCCCGCCCCCGCTATGGCCCAAAATGAGGTCCCCCGCCCCCGACTCTCCAGGCTGACAGTGGCACCCTTCAGGCGCTTAGCTCCCATACAGCCTTGCCTGGGGAACTTTGGGCGCATCGTGACACCAGTTTGCAGGTGAAGACCGCACACTTGGTGTCCGCTCACTATGTTGGTCCCTGGAAGCCCCAGGGATTTGGATTTCTGACTCAGCTCGGGGATCTGGGGTTAGCTGACTCTGCTCTCTCTTCGGCGCCCAGCTCTGGTCCCTCCGTCCTGTCCGCATCTGTCCCCCTCCCCCACTTTTAAATCCCAACCTGCATCTGAGCCCTCCCCCCCCCCACCCCGGAATAGAGACGTGAAAAAAAAAAGTACTCTGTGCCTGTCCTGTTAACACTCAAAACATTTACTGATGTGGAGACTTTGTCTTGTCAACCCATCTTAGCTGGAGTAGGTTCGTTGGCGATTTCTCAGAGAAGGGGGGCTCTGAGAGAGCTTTCATTTCTGGCCTATTGAAGGGGAAGCGGTCGCCGGGAAATCGGGATGTCTTGTTTTTTGCCCTGGGCTGCATGTATTCATATTTTGTTAATTCAGCTCACCATTGTGTGTCTGTCCTGTGCTGGGCACCGGGGGGCGCTGCCGCTGGGCCGAGCCTGCCCAGAGCTCCCAGTCCCCTCTAAGAGGCCGACAGTAATAAAATACTCTCCTAAATGAATGGATCGTTTCCATAATTGCAATTGGTACTTTCGCGGTAATTTTTCCGCCACTATGATTAGTGCTGGAAAGAGTTGTGTGAGGGTGTAACCGAGATCTCTGACCTTGTCTGGGCAGATGGGGGGAGGTCGCAGGGCTTCCTTGGGGAAGTGATACCTGAGTTTGAGCTGAGCCCCGGAAGGTATAAGCAGGCGAGACTGGGATAAGTGAGGAAGAATTGCTGGGGGGGGGGGGACAGCATGTGCAAAGGCCCTGAGTCAGAAGGGAGCATAACCTATTTAAGTAACAGGAGGTAAATTTTTTTTTTTAAGTTTATTTTGAGAGAGGGGCACCTGACTCAGTCGGTTAAGTGTCCAACTTCAGCTCAGGTCATGATCTCACAGTCTGTGATCTCGCAGTTGCTCACTCTCTTTCAAAAAATAAACATTTTTTTAAAATTTAGGTTTATTTTGAGAGAGAGAATCCCAAATAGGCTCCACGCTTTCAGCACAGAGCCTGGTGAGGGGAGATCATGATCTAAGCTGAAATCAGGAGTCAGACATTTAACCGTCTGAGCCACCCAGGCACCCCTAAGATTTAAATTTTTTTAATGTTTATTTATTTTTGAGAGAGAGAGACCACGAGGGTGGGAGGGACCTAGACAGAGGGGAAGACACAGAATCTAAAACAGGCTCCAGGCTCTGAGCAGGCAATAGAGCCCGACTCGGGGCTCAAACACAGAACCGTGAGATCGTGACCTGAGCTGAAGTCTGAAGCTCAACCGACTGAGCCACCCAGGCGCCCCACCCCTAAGATTTTATTTTTAAGGGGCGCCTGGGTGGCTCAGTCGGTTAAGCGTCCGACTTTGGCTCAGGTCATGATCTCACGGTTCGTGGGTTTGACCCCTGCGTCAGGCTCTGTGCTGACAGCTCAGAGCCTGGAGCCTGTTTCAGATTCTGTGTCTCCCTCTCTCTCTGACCCTCCCCTGCTCACACACACACTCTCTCTCTCAGAAATAAATAAAACATTAAAATTTTTTTTAAAAATTTTATTTTTAAGTAATCTCTACCACCAACATGAGACTCAAACTCACGACCCTGAGGTCGAGAGTCAGGTGCTCCACCGACCAAGCCAGCCAGGTGCCCCTAATCGTTAGGACCTATTTTAAGATTGAGCCTTCTTCAGAATAATTTACATGGGTCTCTGTCAGCGGGAAGTGGGAAGTAGGAGGTTGGATGTTCAGTCTGAGGACAGGGACATAAAAGACCCCCTTGTCATTACACTGTATGGTGGCATTACGTTTACATAACACATCTCTACCTTAAACAATTTGCTGGTGAGGAGCCAGGAGCCGCAAGGCATGGCGGACGCCAAGAGGGCCTAAGGACATCAGGGTGACCTGAGGGAGGCCAGACAATGGGACGCCCAGGGACTCTCCCAGCTTCAGTGGAATTGGGGGGGAGTGGCCCCCGCACCACCTACAGGACAAAGTTGCACCAGGTGTCAGCCAAGAAAGTCGGTTATGGGATCGCCTGGGCGCCCCAGTCAGTTAAGCATCTCTTGATTTTGGCTCAGCCCATGATCTCAGGGGTCATGAGTTCGAGCCCCGCTCTGCGCTGACAGCAAGGAGCCTGCTTGGGATTCATTCTCTCTCTCTCACTCTCTCTCTCTCTCTCTCTCTCCCTCTTTCTCTCTCTCCCTCTTTCTCAAAATAAATAAAATTTAAAAATAGAAGGTCTGCGGCTGTCCAGGGGCCAGAAGCTACGTTCAGTGGAGATCCAGGACTCACGCAGGAAGTGCAATTGCCTGGGAAGGGCCGACGCTGATGGGTTTGATTCCAGAGCCCTGGGAAGTAGGAGGGGTGGTGCTGAAGCCAGGACCTGTCTCTGCCAGATCACCTTCCTCTCCTAACCTGTGTCCCCTGGGCCTAGACATCAGGCCCCAGTGCTTTCTGGAACTCTTCCAGGAAAAGGAACCCCAGTGCTGGCAGCTGGGGGTTTGAGGGATTTTCTGGGCAAGTCCGAGGAGTTTTAGGGATTAGAGGAATTTGCTGAGGAGGTGAGGCCAGATTTGGGGAGGGGGATTAGATGAAGGGGCCCCAGGACAGGGTGCTGGGGGTAAAAGGGCATACAGAGGACAGAGAAAGGAAATTTACCATGAAACGTGGATTTTAATTTTGTTTTTTAATTTTTTTAAACATTTATTCATACAGAGACAGAGCACAAGTCAGGGAGGGGCAGAGAGAGGGAGACACAGAATCCGAAGCAGGCTCCAGGCTCTGAGCTGTCAGCACAGAGCCCGGTGCAGGGCTCGAACCCATGAACTGTGAGATGGTGACCTGAGCTGAAGTCGAACACTTAACCAACTGAGCCACCCAGGCGCCTTGGAGTTTAATTTTAAATTTTGTTCTAAATCTGGTTGCTGCTATTTAATCTTGTTAAGGGAGTCCCTGAGGCTAGCCCCAGTACCCTTTTGCATCCTTCTAGATCAATCTTAGGTACTGTGAAAACACAAAATTCAGCTGAGGAAATTTGAAGGTCTAACCGGCTTTATTACACAATTTGCAAATCAGGCAGCACCCCACCCAGCAAGCAGAGAGGGGGCTCCACCGAGTGAAGGAAAGGAAAGAGCTATACAGGCAGAGAGAAAGCATAAAAGGTGAAGAAGTGGGGGGGGGGAGGCAGGAAAGAGGAAGGGAGGGAGTGGGGAAGGATTAATTAGAAATGCTTTGTTTAAGGGGCACCTGGGTGGCTCAGTGGGTTAAGCTCCTGACTCCAGCTCAGGTCATGATCTCAGTTCGTGGGATCGAGCCCCGCCTTGTGCTCTGTGCTGATAGCTTGGAGTAGAGCCTCTTGGGGACGGGGACCCCTTATTAAGATGAAGTCCCCTGAAAAAAAAAGGTAAGAGTCCCCTGAGACCTAGCACTGCCCCATCCAGAAAATGCTACTTGTCACCTTGTGTCTCGGGCTCCTAGCAGCCAGCGGTAACCAGAGGGACTGTTCTCGCCGTTAGAGCCCAGCTCTCAGTACGGGACAGGAGGCGAGAGGAGAGTTAGGCCAGTGTGTCCAGTGAGACGCCAGGCTGGGAGGCCACCGGGCTTGTAGGACCCACACCTCTCTCCTCCCCTGTGATTTTCCCAATGATTAACAGCACAGGAGACAGAGGCAGAACGACCATCTCCAGAAGGGAAAGGATCAGGCAAAACCAAACACACTCAAACAATCATCACAAGAGTCGTTATACCCAAAGAACTAGTTCACACAAAAAATTTTTTAATGTTTATTTTTGAGAGAGAGAGAGAGAGAGAGTTTGTGCAAGCAGCAGAGAGAGAGAGGGAGACAGAGGATCCCAAAGCAGGCTCTGCGCCGACAGCAGAGAGCCTGACACAGGGCTCAAACCCACGAACCGTGAGATCATGACCTGAGCTGAAATCGGCCGCTTAACTGACTGAGCCACCTAGGTGCCTCTGGCTGATTATTTTCAGCAGGTGTGCCAAAAGCATTCAACAGGGAAAGGGTGCTCTTTTCAACAAATGGTGCTGGGAACACTGGGTACTCACACGGAAAAACAAAAAACAAAACAAAAAACGAACAAACAAAAACAATGAAATTGGTCCCTTGCTATCTACTACATACAAAAATTAAAATGAGTCAAGAACCTTAACATAACGGGGGCGCCTGGGTGGCTCAGTTGGTTGAGCATCCGCCTTCAGCCCAGGTCAGGATCTCACAGTTTGTGGGTCCGAGCCCCGCATCGGACTCTGTGCTGACAACTCAGATTCTGTGTCTGTTTCAGATTCTGTGTCTCCCTCTCACTCTGCCCCTCCCCCACTCATGCTGTCTCTCTCTCTCAAAAACAAATATATAAAAAAAAAAAGAACCTAACATAACTAACACCCCACAACTCTTAGAAGAATTATTGTGAACACAGGAGAAAAATCATAGTTAAAAAGAAAAACTTTAAAAAAACAACAACATGGGGGGAGATCTTCATGACCTTGGATTTTGCAAGGATCTCAGATAGGACACCAAAGGCACAGGCAACAACAAAAGATAGATAACTGGCCTTTATCAAAATTAAAACCTATTGTGCATCAAAGACACTATCAACAGAGTGAAAAGGCAACCCGCAGAATGGAAGAAAGTATTCACAAGTCGTATACATGGTAGGGGATTAGTATCCAGAATACATAAAGAACTCCCACAACTCAACAACAGCAAACATTCCGATTCAAATATGGGCAAGAGACTTGAATAGACGTTTCTCCAAAGAAGATATTCAAATGGCCCACAAGCCCATGAAAGGATGCTCATTAGGGAAATGCAAATCAGAAGCACAATGGAGGGGAGCCTGACTGGCTCAGCCTGCAGAACACGTGACTCCATCTCAGGGTTGTGAGTTTGAGCCCCAAGTTGGATGGAGAGATTACTAAAAAATAAAATCTTAAAAAAATAAAAAGCACCATGGATACCACTTTACACCCACTAGGATGGCTATTAAAAACAACAAGGGGCGCCTGGGTGGCTCGGTCCGTTAAGCGTCCGACTTCGACTCAGGTCATGATCTAGTGGTTCATGAGTTCAAGCCCCGCATCAGGCTCTGTGCTGACAGCTCAGAGCTTGGAGGCTGCTTCCGATTCTGTGTCTCCCTCTCTCTCTGCCCCTCCCCTGCTCGTGCACACACTTGTTCTCTCTCAGAAATAAATAAACATTAAAACAAACAAAGCAACAGAAAATAACAAATGTTGGCAGGGGTGTGGTGTGGAGCTTCCTCAAAAAGTTAAACAGAAAACTAGCATATGGCCCAGCAAGCCCACGTCGGGCTGTGTGCCCCAGAAGAGTCAAAAGCAGGGGTGCAAACATACTTGCACACGAATGCTCATAGTAGCATTAGTCACAGTGGCCAAAAGGTAAAAAACAAACCAAACCATGTCCAGCAACAGATGAGCAGATAAACCAACTGTGATGGAGCCATGCAAGGAAATAGTATTCAGCCCTGAAAGGGAACGCGGTTCTGGAACATACTATGCCAGGACCAAAGAAGACCTCAGGTGAAGCGAAATAAGCCAGTTATTACACAGCAGATACGCATGGCTGCTCTAACACGAGGCTTCTAGAATATGCAAAGTCATTGAGACAAAAAATAGAAGAGAGGTCATCGGGAAGGAAGATGAGGGAAGGAAGAACGGGGGGTTATTGGTTAATGGGCCCAGAATTTCTGTTTTGGATGATGAAATAGTTCTGGAAATCAATACTGGTGTTTGCACAACATCGTGGATATCCTTAATGTCGCTGAATCCCACACTGAAAAGGAGTTAAAAATGTAGTTTACCTTGCAATAATAATACTGATAAACGCTAAGATCAGTGGGGGAGGGGAAGGAATTTGTAAGGGGGAAATGGGGACCAAAGTCACATAAGAGGTCATTGTAAGTGGTTTGGCTTTGACTGTGCCTGAGCAGGAAATCTGTAGGTCAAGTTTTTCTGACAAACCAGGTGTCGGCCAAACTCTCTTGCTCTTGGTATGATCAGATCAAGCCCCCCCGCCAGCAGCCAAGGTCAAAGGGCAGTGACCCAAACCAAAAGCATCTGTCCCCCGTGAGCCCTGTGAGGGCAGGGCTGTGGCTGTCGTGGCCGCTGCCTCCTAGCACAGGGCCAGGCGCAAAGCAGATGGTGGGCGAGTGTTTGCTGACTGACTGAATGCCCTTCACGCCATCACACAGCATCGACCCCTCAAATGTGTGGGCTGTTGAGATGTTTGTGTCCCAGCCCCCCTCCGAAGCTGCTGGACACTCAGTCCCACGAAACACGTCACCCTCAGACATGCAGGTGGAGAGGGTCAGACATGCACCCAAATGCTGCCTAGCACCCATTCCACAAATATTTCCAAACTCTGTTTCGAGGGGAAGGGTATCCAGGGTGGAAGGAACAGTATGGGCAAAGGCCCAGAGGCAGGAAAATTCAGAGGGTGTTTTAGAGGCTAGATGAATTGTCCTCTGTGCCTGGCCTCCCCTAGAGGGCAGGAGTTGACAGAGGAAGACTTAGACCAGAGCCAGGCTAGGCAGAGACGCGGTTCTGTCAGAAGGGCCCTGGGGAGGCAAGGCAGGTTTTGCGCCGGGGAGGCAGGGGCATACTTGTGCTTTGGAAAGAGCCCTGTGGAGGGCGGAGGGGAGGAGGAGAGACTGGGTCTGCTCTGGGCACCCTTTGCCCCCAGCACCACCCAGCAAAGAGCAGGTGTGAGTGAAGGGAGGAATGAACACGAATTATTGGATCCTAATATCACCGAGAATAAAAGCCAAAGCCCTTACGGGGGCATTCAAGGCCCCATGATCTGGTCCCTTGCCCACCCAGCTGCGCGGCTATCCAACCGGCGGCGCCGCCCAGTGCCCGCCGGACGCCCGTCTCTCCTGCAAAGCGCCAGCCTTTGCGCCTGCTCCCTTGCGCTCGCTGTTCCGTCTACTTGGAATACTGTTCCCCAGACTGCACGCTCCAAGAATGCACCTTTGTCGTTCACCTCCGCATCCGCAGCACCGACCACAGTGCGCCACGCGCAGCCAGCGCAGTAATTTGTGGAATTAAGGAACGAGTGAATGAGCTCCGGACGTCAGCCTCTTCAGTAGAAACCTGAGCAAGTTGGGGCGCCTGGGTGGCTCAGTCGGTTAAGCGTCCGACTCCGGCTCAGGTCATGATCTCACGGTTCGTGGGTTCGAGCCCCGCGTCGGGCTCTGTGCTTACAGCTAGCTCAGAGTGTGGAGCCTGCTTTGGATTCTGTGTCTCCGTCATTCTCTGCCCCTCCTCTGCTCACGCTGTCTCTCTCTCTCTCTCAGAAATTTTTAAAAATTAAAAAAAAAATGGAGCCTTAGGTAGTGGGATTTTAGTCCATCTCAAATGTAAACTGACTTGTCTTCACTCAGGGCACCATGGGGATGGATTGGCTGTCCGTTTGTGTCTTCTGATTTTTGCGGAGTCAAACAATTTACAAAGCAGGTGGTGATTCTAAGTTAAGAAAATGTACCTGTGATTGAAAAATAAAACAAAACTAATATTAAAACATAAGGAAAATTTTTTAAAAAAGAAAGAAAAGAAACCTGAGCAAGTTGAAGCACAGGTGGAGGAGACAGGTGCTTGAGCCAGAGGGGCTGGGAAAGTTCGGGGGTGGGGCTAGGAGGGGGCGTGGTCACGGCGGGGCGGGGCCACAGGGGGCCGTGGAGAGGAGGCTCTGGCTGCAACCCGGCCCCCTGCGGAGGCTGGGGCAGAAATGGGAGTGGGGTGGAGTGGGGTGGGGTGGGCGCCGGGGTGAACCGGATTCCACCCCCCCCTTCCCAGAGCAACTTCAGGGCAGGATCAGTTCTCCAGGCCAACTTCATCCGGAGTTTGGAAATGGATCTATGGGGCCATTGAGGCAGGACTATGCCTGCTCTCTGCCCTCAACTGCCTCCTTGTCACTCTGACCTGGACCCCTCTTGTGGTCGCCTTCCCTCTTCCCCCACCTGGTCTCCCTGGGGCTCTTGGAGTGACACAAACTGTTTGTCTTCCCTTTGTTCAGTGCGCAACGTGACATACAGTGTGCACCCCGGCTTGAAGAAACTGCTCCAGCCGGAAGCCGCCCGGAGCGAGTGCCCAGCCCCTGTGGCTCACACTGCTGCCCTCTGTTGGAAAACCCGCGCAGTTCTCTAGCTTTGCTAGCAAGGTGCTTTATTGCCTTCCTCTGGGAAATTGTTTTTAAAAGCTGCAGATGATTCCAGTTATGTGAAGGATGTCCCTTTCCATGCGGCGTCCTTCTGCAGTGCCCAACCGATACAACTGTTCACGCCGAGTCGGCTTCTGCCCTTGTATATTCCTTGGTGCTAACGTGTAGTGTGTAGTTTTCTAGAGTTTTATTTGGCACCATTCTTTTTCTGAGGGGGCAGGGGTTATTCTTGAGGCGACGTTTTTCTCTTAATCACCTATACACGTACCGCCATATTTATACTGATGGGAGTCGCATGGCCTCTTGTACTTCAGTTTCAGCTGCCGAACCCTTAAAAAATTTTTTTTTAAATGTCTTTATGTTATTTTGAGAGACAGAGACAGAGAGCAAACAGGGAAGGGGCAGAGAGAGAGGGAGACACAGAATCCAAAGCAGGCTCCAGGCTCTGAGCTGTCAGCACAGATCCGGACACGGGCTTGAACCCACAGACTGTGAGATCATGACCTGAGCTGAAACCAAGAGTCCGACGCTTAACCCACTGAGCCACCCAGGCGCCATTGTTGTTGTTGTTGTTTTAATCTAAGTTATACAAAGTCAAATAGTTCTGCAGGGATTATTCATGAAAATGGTATACCCCCTTGGGGAGCCTGGGTGGCTCAGTCGGTTAAGTGCCAACTTAGCCTCAGGTCATGATCTCACCAGTCGTGAGGTCAAGCCCCGGGTTGGCCTCTGTGCTGACAGCTCAGAGCCTGGAGCCTGCTTCAGATTCTGTGTCTCCCTCTCTCTCTGCACCTCCCCTGCTCATGCTCTGTCTCTCTCTCTCTCACAAAAATAAGTAAACATTAAAAATAAAAAAGAAGAAAATGGTATACCCCCTTCTCATTTCCAGTTCCATGGAGCAGGGTTTCTCAACATCTGCCCTACTGACGTTTGGGGCTAATAATTCCTTGTTCTGGGGGCTGTCTGAACATTGTAAGATACCCAGCACCATCCTGGCCCCTACCCACTAGATGCTGGTAGCACACACCATCCAGCTGTGATAACCAAAAATGTTGCCAAATAACCCTCTAGGATGCAAAATCACATCTGGTTAAGAACCATTGCCCTGGAGGTTGCCACTTTCAACTATAAAAAATATGTATATAACTCATGCTTTTAGGTACCATGTTAATAATATACATCTTGATTTGTCAGGTTTAGCCACTATCTAGTGATTACCCCATAATGGAAGATGAGGATTATTTGTTGTTCACAGACACCTGTGCCCACACCGCCAACACACACCCTCCCCAGCCTCCCATTCCCAGGTGTATTTCATAGATGTGGCTACATCAATGTGCATATGAAAGCACTGTCCATGGTCAAGTCGTGTAGTGGGCTATGATGATCATTTCTTTTCTTTAACAGCTTTTTATTCTTCCTGGAGTTAGTCATTGCCTTGATTTTTCATCTGCATGGGTTGCTACCTACTTATGGATACTTCAACTCCAAACTGTAATCCAAATACATAAAAAATTTCAAGGAATTTCATCTTTTTTTCACGTCATCTTAATGTCATAAATTGAATCATAGAGTTGTTCTAGAAAAGTTTGTTTTTATTTATTAATTTTTAACGCTTATTTATTTTTAAGTAATTTCTACACCAAATGTGGGGCTCTAACTCACAACCCCAAGGTCAAGAGTCGCATGCTGTACTGACTGAGCCAGTCAGGTGCCCCAGCAATTTTATATTCTTTTTTTTTAAAGTTCATTTTTTGAGAGAGGGATCGTGAAAGGGGGGAGGGGAAAGAGAGTGGGAAGAGGCACAGAGGATCAGAAGATGGATCTTCTCTGAGAGCAGCAAGCCCGATGCGGGGCTCAAACTCACGTACAGTGAGATTATGACTTGAGCCAAAGCCAGTCACTTAATGGACTGAGTCATCCAGACGCCCCAGCAATTTTATCTTCTTGAAGAAATCTCTCCAAGAGCCTTCTGTCTTGCTTCTGTTTGCACTGATTACCTGTGGCTTCTCTTTCTCTTTCTCCTAGGAAGCGCCTGTTTTCATGTGTCATATGAAATGTCATAGCGTTTTTTTGGCTTGTGCCTTCATTTTGTTGGTGAATATGCTCCATTAGCTTCCTCAGAAAGGAGGCATGGGGGCATGGGTGGAGACTTTTCGGCCCTCCTTTCCATCAGTTATGTGACTTTGGGTAAATAGTTTCATTTCTCTTACCCTCAGTTTTGTAGCTGTACAATGGGTGTCTATAGGGGTGCTTGGGTGGCTCAGTTGGCCAAGTGTCTGACTCTTGATTTCAGCTCATATCTTGATCTTTGGGTCATAAGTTCAAGTCCCGCATGGGGCTCCATGCTGGGCATGAAGCCTACTTTAAAAAATAATAATAGGGGCGCCTGGGTGGCTCAGTCAGTGAAGCATCCAACTGCGGCTCAGGTCACGATCTCACAGCTTGTGAGTTCGAGCCTCGCATTGGGCTCTGTGCTGACAACCCAGAGCCTGGAGCCTGCTTCCGATTCTGTGTTTCCCTCACTCTCTCTGTCCCTCTCCCTCTCACGCTCTGTCTCTCTCTCTGTCTCTAAAAAAAACTAAATATTTAAAAACTTCAAAAATAATAATAATACTTAAAATGGGCATAAGTATTTTTGCTATTAGGACAATAGAATGAGATAATACACATAACCCTAACTTGTACACTCCATAAGTATTGGCTGTTATTATCAGACATAGACAAAGCAGAAGAGAAATGTAGTTTAAAAATTTATAATTTTAAATATTACTTCCAGAGCAATGCAGATGCTCATTTTATAAAATTTAGAAAGAGGCTATTTGTGTATTATTCTGGAATTAGAGGAAGTTGTTTGAGACTAACCATGCAAATAAGGCCAATGAGAAAAGCTGGATAAAATCTTTTATTTATTTTCTTAAGTTTATTTATTTATTGGGGTACCTGAGTGGCTCCATTGGTGAAGCATCTGGCTCTTGGTTTAGGGTCAGGTCATGATCTCACGGGTTCGAGACTTACATGGGGCTCTGTGCAGCCAGTGAGGAGCCTGCTTGGGATTCTCTCTCTCTCTCTCTCTCTCTCTCTGCCCCTCCCCCACAAATTCTCTCTCTGTCTCTCCCCTCTGTCTCAGTGCTAACAGCGCAGAGCCCAACGCGGGGCTCAAACTCACAAACCGTGAGATCATGACCTAAGCTGAAGTTGGACACTTAACCGACTGAGCCCCCCAGACACGCACACGGGCATTTTATCATCACACATCATCATTATAAGAAGGATGACTACAGTTTGATAAGATTTTTTGAGGGAGAGAGAGCACACTCACATAACTTTTACTATGGTGTATTGTTGCGATTATTCTATTTCATTATTAGTTATTATTCATCTGTTTCTGAGCCTAATTTATAAATTACACTCTATCATAGGGATGTATGTATCGGAGAAAACATAGTGTATCCGGGGCTCTGTTCTCTCCGCGGTTGCAGGCATCCACTGGGTATCTTAGAATGGACCGTCCATCGAGGATGGGGGAGTATGGTACCTTCCAGTAAGGTTTTGGAGTTCTTCAGCTGTAAATCTTTCCTCCTTGGCTAATTTCTCTTTTTTTTTAATGTTTCTTTTATTTTTTTTATTTTTTGAGAGAGTGGTGGTGGGGCAGAGGGAGACACAGAATCTGAAACAGGCTCCAGGCTCTGAGCTGTCCGCACAGAGCCCGACATGGGGCTCGAACTCACGGATCGTAAGATCATGACCTGAGCCGAAGTCAGACACTTAACCGACTAAGCCACCCAGGTGCCCCTTATTAATTTTTTAAAGGAATCTTTATACCCAACGTGGGGCTCGAACTCACTACCCTGAGATCAAGAGTTGCGCTCTCTGCCTGCTGAGCCAGCCAGGCGCCCCGCCTTCATTATCTCTTAAGCAGCAAACTAGGAATCGAAGGAAACTGCCTCAATCTGATAAACAATCTTCAAAAACTCTGCAACTAGCATCATATCTAAAGGTGACGTGTGGAGCGCTTTTTCTGTTAGATTGGGAACAATACAAGGATTTCTGCTGTGACCTCTTCTAGACCATTCTATGGGACGTCCTGGCCAGTGGAATAAAGTAAAAAAAGTAAATCAAACTTAGGAGGCCAACGAAAGCAAGAAATACAATTGTCATTATTCGCAGATGGTGAGATCATATATATATACATATGTAGAAAACCCAGGAGAATTTAGTAATCAGTTCAGTGAATTTCATATTTATATTTGCATGCTCATAATGAACCATTAAAAAGTATTTTTT